AATGGATTTGGGCACATCCTCATCATTAGAACCCCATTAGTCTCAGCGTAGCTTATCTATGGATTCGAAACGCACCCCGGCTTCAGAACAGGTATCCCATCTTCTAACTCCTCCGGATATCCATTGCACAAAAAACGCCCATCTATCAACGTCTCCACCTTGACACACTCCCAGAAGTACGGCGAAACGGTATCTTTCTCCTTCATGACGCATTACTTATTGAGATCGGCTTCCTTCGTAGGTGTTCACGCCATGTCATAAACACTGACCGACATTACAATGCGGAATATTGTCCCCGCATCTTGGCGGTATACCCTCGAACGCGGGAAAGTCGTAGGTTCGGAACGGAGAAGGGTGAGGACCCGGCGAAGCGCAGGAGAATGGATGATCCCGAAGAGAAAATGACTCGGGAGCTGGCATTCTTTCTTCCGACAGTTTTTCACTGTGTTATATTTCTTCCAGTTGCCATATGCTCGACATTGTTTGCTGCACAGAATCCGGTTCAGGATCGAGTAACGGCACCCAGGATTCCGCGATGAACCTCCGATGTTGTTCAGAAAGACATCCACTGCAACCCGTTGCGGATATAGGAAGCGATGGTCTCCCAGTGGAAGGAGAACGCGGTCGGCATTTCGGACCGCGCTACCGATATCCACTTGCTCAACCTTCACTTGGTAGGGATAACATGACAAGGTTTGAGCTCTAGCCTGCTTGTTCAATGATTTTATCGACTTCAGAACACCAGGTCCTCGAGTCCTGAAACTTTACGGAGGAGATACCGACAAGCGAGGGAGGTTTCGCCTTATAATAGAAGGGGCGGACATCTTCAAGCCCAAGGATCTCTTTTGTGACTCTCACATCCGTAAGATTTTTACCGACGATACTGCGATTCAATGACTAGAGCGCCTGGAAAAAATGTGACATTACGTGCGTCATATATGCCTCACGACTCCCCCCCTCGTTCCCCAGGTTTCCATGGCGTCTATCAAGTTCCAGCTCATGAAGACAAGCGTTGTCACTTTGAAGACATGGGCGCATCGTCATCCCCAAATGGGTTGAAGCGGGTCTTCGGAATATGTCTAAACATGACAGACGGCAAAATAACGTTGGTAAAGTGAGCGATTGTCGGTAAGACACCGTATTGCTTCGGTAAAATTCTTTCCTGACTTGGCTAGAATATCAGATTACAAGTTTACCGCATCAAAGTAGTCGCCGCCAGTGTACTTAATCGCGTTGGCACGATCCCAATTGGTCGCAGCAGTCAAGTTAAGTCCCCAATATTTCGCGTTTAGTTGGCACATGCGTGATAGTACCCAAGACAGCCTACATACGTCCAATCTTCATCTTAACGGATGCTGGAGTAGAGATTCGTTACTTTTATACGTGGTGAAGAAACACGTCGACTTGGTTAGTGCCCTGCTAAAGTATCCTTGCTATGTAATTTTGACGGTTGCTATAGGTCGACGCCTACGTAGACAAGGTCAACTGGTTCGCAAACGGTGATGAACCTACCATTGGCGAACCTAAATGGAAATGACACTTGCGTTCCTCGCTCGGTCTATTGTCACCAAGTACATAAACTCTCCAAAAGGGTTCGTGAGTAAGGATATGCTCTGTGCCACTTCGAATGGGGATCGTTTCGTTCCCACTCTGCCTCCCACATCTTACGCTGGAATAAGAACGAAGGGCGGCACACTGCATGTTCTCCTTATATGGACTCTCTTATTTGAACCTTCCATTCCACAGGCCTGACTGTTGTCGCATCTGGTGGCGCTCGAGCATTTATTTGTCTTTCTTCAAGCGTCTGATGCCTCAATCTCAATGATTTCGGTTTGCTCTGGTGCCTGAGCTTTTTTGGGAGACATTGAGTACCGATGATACCGAAAATCACTTCGGGCGCGGCTGTGAGTGTTCCACTTACAACTATCTGTTGGTCAGAAGGTGTGATGCGAGTCCATTTCGTGTACTAGCGAACGCTATTCTATATGAACCCCTACACAGGCTCCGAAGAATGGATTCGAACAACGACTGATTTGGGGTGTCTTCTGTTGACGAGATGGATCCTTCAAAACCCTTCATAGTATTGGCATGCCAATTGTGTTGATAAACTTTGTCAGTCTCAGTTAGTTGCCTTCAGCTACGGCCAACACTTCGTGCTACCTTCAGAATCAAGACGGGGCGACTCATCGAAGTTTAATGGACGTTAAATCCTGCGATCTGATCATAAATCTTACCGCAGTGCCTACAAAGTAGGGGATACCGGCTGAGATCAAGATGCTCTTTCTATCGGAACGCTGCCCTATGATATGTTGCATCACGCAGTCAAGATCGCTCAACAAGACTGAGTCATTATACTGGATAGTAATGGTACACAGCAGGTTTTTTTCCGGCTGCGACCTTCTCATCTCAACACATAAAAGTATACGATAGCTGTATTCTCTCAACGCTAGGCCTTTGTACGCTGTAGGAAATTTTCGGTTCATCGAAAGTTCCAGGAACGGCAAGTATCAATGAGCGGCGTCGGATTTTGATCAGCATCCACACGTCGTACAGGGCATGTGATTCCCCTTGTCCTAATTTTCACGACAAAATCTAGTCAGTGCTGTTTGAAAATCGACTGGCTGGACGTGCAGGTTTGTTTTGTTTTTGGTGCATTCAGCCTGCGCGTGTTTCATGAGGGGCACTCAGGGTATCAACCTCTCCCATCACGAAATCAAGTTACCCTGATCATAGATGGGCGCCCACGGGAAAAGTTCTCAAATAAACAGATGTTAGAAATAGCTTTCGTCCCTTTCTTCGTCTCACGCCCCTTGCTCTTCTTGTCTTTCTTTTCCCTCCCCAATTCCCCGCTGGTCGACCCTCAAAAAGGTTTCACTTCTCAATGGTTGCGTACAACCCCGTCCTTCGTGGCAAGTGGACGTCGAAGAAGTTCAGTGCTACCGTGATCAATGACATCTGGCCGGAGGTGTTGTTCTTCACCGCCGTGGCAACCAGTAAAACTCTGCTCATGCACTAGTTTTTCGTCGTTTTAACCCTTATTTCTGCGTAGTGGTGACGTTTGTATCTATCAAAACACCACATTCTTTGGCTGTTAACCCCCAATTGTTGACTGTACTGGGTACTGTTCTCGGTTTGGTAATATCGTTTAGGACATCCTCTGCATACGAGAGGTACGTTGTCATCTGTCTTTGCTTCAGTTCGTTATCCAACAGATGCCGTTAGATACCAGGAAGGAAGGAAAATGTGGTCAAATATATCGATCACTTCACGGAATCTTGCCCAAATGGTGCGTCCTGTTCTCAAAAACAAGCCTCACATTAGGGCTGACATCACGTTAGATTTGGATTCATATTCCAAATGATAGACCATTGAAGCCAGATGGGTCTAGGCTGACCGCACTCGAGAGTATCATCGAGAAAAAGACCATGATCAACTTGATTCAAGCATTTTCTGTTTCTGTCAAGGTATGCCTTATTGAGCATCCTTATTATACTACGTTTTTCTCATCCTTGGTGGGCTTGAATAGCACTACTTACGAGGAGAGACAGGGGTGTATTATGAAGATCTCTACCCTCTCATCTCGTTGTTACCCAAATTTGCATCAGAAACGGCAACGGACTGTACCGACATGCTCCCTCTCTGGCAGGCATCAGAAGAAGATGAACATCCCTACGACCACAAAATCCACGCTATGCCATCACCAAAAGCGGAATCGGCTCTTCCCAGTCTTTCCGCCTCTCCTGCACCTTCATCATTAGGCTGGCACTCGTTCGGGAAACGCACCCCAAAACCCAAAACGTTCGACCCGGAGAAAGCTCTTCCTACTATCTTCAGTCATCGACCCCTCAAACCTGCTCGTAACCCTCCAAAGACCAGTGTTTACGACTACGTTCCCTTTCTTCTTATTTTCAAGTGGATCGCAAAACAATTTACTCGAAAGAAGAAGAGCGTCATTGAAGGCGCATCACGAAATGCTCTCGGGAGAAAAATTAGGCCAAAAATCGAAGAAAGCAACGTGCCCTTACAGATTACCACCTATCTGTCAGATTACGCCAATTGTCTGTCTTTCTCTTTTCAGATTTCTGTTGCTTGTTAAGCTATTTTCATAGATATCATGCGTTCTGGCGTCCTGATGCCACCTATTGCGGCTGGTATCGTCAACAATATTGGGGCACTCCAAGATACATTAACCCACCTTGGACGAATCGCGAATACACCGCTTCCATTTGCGTATCAAATGCACCTGCGAATGTCCCTTTGGGTATACCTGTTCCTCCTTCCAGTTCGTCGTCTCCTCTTTGCTCTGACCGCCTCTGACATTTTTATGGGCAGTTCCAAATCTTCGACAACTTCAAATACCTGACGATCCCCGGAACGGCGTTTTCATCCTTCCTTCTACTCGGTTTCCTCGAGATTGGCCAGGAAATGTATGTAAGACCACTGTTGAAGAAGAACGGGTACTCATTATTCCGTCAGTGAAAATCCATTCAATTATGATCTCAACGACCTAGACTTGGACGGATTTTGTCTGTCTATACAGCGAGAACTTCAGGAAATCACCGCCCACCCGCTGCCAGACCCTTCTTCCTTCATTTTCACTGCCTGGAACCAACCCTTCGCGCCTGGAGATCGACGTACCGCAGCTGAACTTGTCAAGGGTGAAACAGAATATCGACACGCTGAGGACGAACACCAAGGGTTGGGAAGCATCAAGCAGACGCTTCTGCGCAGCTGGAGGGACACGGATGACTTGACTAGAGAGAAGAAGTAAAATGCATGGTTCTTCATTTGACTTGTCAATTATAAAAGGTCGGCTGGTTCGACCATTCTGGGACAGCTATTTTATCGGTAAACTGCTACTGTTACATGACATACGCAATACAAATACAAGGGAAGACAGCTAAGTCGGTACTAGCGCTGGGTGAGAATGCCCGATGTTAATAACATACCTAGTAAATCACATGAAAATAACATGTATGTAACGTTAAAAACATTAGAGGGTCCCAGCGGTGGTGTGAAATTCTGTGAGAAACTCTGGTTGGATGAGCCTACAGAACGGCATCTTCCAAGGCTCCAAGCATCGTACGTCGCTAAGATGACTACTTCTAGATGGTGTGCTTGTTGTCGTACACCATGATAGATTTCAATTTACCTTGTATTTATGCATATATGGTCATTTCTGACCGCATAGCAAAATAACATGTAAATCACACATTTTTAACATGTTATTTACATGTTAAAATCCAAAAATTTTCCGCGCGGCGCGCAATGACATCATGGGAAACTCACAGTTATTTACATGTGAGGATGAACCTCACATGGAGGGTGCAACCATTGTCACGTTAAATACTTCGCCGAAAAGCATTCTCACCCAGCGCTAATCGGTACCGCTTTATGAGCTCGAAGTTAAAGTTTTCTTGAACCAATCCACGGTCTGCTGCAAGGCGCCTTCATATGCCTCCTTCACCTCAGGATAGTCGATGTTTGGGCGTGCTGCAAAGCCGTGGGTTGTGCCTTCACAAGATATGTCAGTAAGAATGCTCCAGTGACATGAAATAACTGACCCTTATAGTCTCTGAACTCATACACGACTCCGTCCTTCCGTTCAGCCATGGCTGCCTCTGCCTTCAATCGGAAGTCATGATTGACAATCATGTCATCTGAACAATATTCAAGCTAGATGTTGACTGCAACATGAGTTGACGCACCCTCAGCACATACCCAAGAAGAGGGAACCTAGACAATTCCAATTGAATGAAAACGGGTGACACTAGGTGGAAAGTATGACCTTGATGGCTTTCAGCTCATCGATACTAAATCTTCCGGGATGGCAGATGACAAGGGTATCGAAGAACCCAGTGGAGCCAAACCTAATGGCAGTGGCTCCACCAAAGCAGTACCTGTACCGGCGAGTGAAAATCTGTAGGCATAGAGAACTGTATCATCCGGAGATTTACATACCCCACGGCCCCGATTTTGTCATAGTTCTTAGTCGATTTGAGTTTATCCATGAACTGTAAGGGAAAAAGCTTAAGCATCAAAACGTCCGACTACTAGTCCCATATATAAGACACGGACACTTCGAACTCTCTGATCGGTAACCGAAGGCCTATTGCGGAATATAGCCGGAAGAGTGGGTAATACGACCAAAATAATCTTTATCCACCCCCACAGGGAGGGTCTTTGGCCTGCACGTTCTGGCATGATCATCTGTTCAGGCCTGACGGGTGGATTTCCTGAACAAGTTACATCCAGGGTCACGAAGAGAGGGAAAAATCTCACCATCGAACAAGTCGGGGACATATACGTCGCAGCCAAGCTGCTCTGAGAAGAAATCTGCCAGAAGTTTGGGATTGGGAGGGCCGAGACCAAAGATATCGGTTAGTAGCACCACAGCGTGGGACGAGCCAGTAGGACCACTAGCTAAGTATGCGCCATTAACGTCCGAGAGCGTTCCTTTGGGTTCGCCAGATAGGGCTGCGCCTTTATAACAGTCCGGACAGCTCATTGTGAGTGTGGGAGTCAAACTCGAACGATGCAGGGAGCTTTAGGCTAATTTGTTTAGGGGTGACCTAATTAGCTTAACGATCACGTGTACATGTTCACGCTCGGACCATGATCGCGATTTGCGAGGGCGTAAGAGGGCGTATTCAGAATAAACATACAAGTATTTCGTACGAAGATAAAATCCGGAAATAGTCTCTGTCAAACTTGGCTGAATATAATCACATTATGTTAAAGCAAAGAAAATGTCGTGTATGAGACATGGTATATGTAGGCTTGCTACTGGAGTTATTAATCCAGTAACGTCTTCTTGAACCATTCAACAGTCTGTTGCAAAGCAGCTTCAAAACCTGCCTTAACCTCTGGGTAGGCCAGGTTTGGGCGAGCTGCAAATCCATGAGTGGTCCCCTGAAAAGTCATTGAGTTCGGTTTGAATGTCACGGAGTAGTCTGAAGACATACCCTTGTGCTCAATGAACTCATATTCTACATAATTCTCTTTACCCTCTTCTTCCCGCAAGTTCTGCCTCGGCAACAGCGCGCGCATCAGTGTGTGAAGGACATATCCTCTAAAAGGACAAAGTGAGACTACTCCCAGACGCACAAATAAAGATCAAAAAACCTTCAGCACAAGCCCACGACGAAGGTACCTGAGATCATGTCAGTTTCACTGACAAAAATTCTTTGAAGACGAATACCTTGATAGCCTTAAGCTGTCCAATGGGCACTTTACCGGGATGACAGACAACAATGGTATCGATGAGGCTCGTGCCTCCAAACCTCACAGCAGCATTTCCTCCGAAACAATATCTGGAGTCAAGTTGAATTCCCAGTGAAAAAAAAACTATGGGGGAGACTGACCCGACGGCGCCTAACTTTTCATACTTTTTCTCCGCCTTCAGTCTTTCTATGAACTGAATCACGTGTCGGGCCCTAGTAAACATTGTACAGATTCAGTTACGCACAGTGGTCACCCTCTGATCCACTACACTTGGCCGGCAAGGAATAAATAGCGGCAGACGTCTCAACGCGAGCCAGATAAATGAGAGATATCCAAAGAACCCTATTTTCTCTCCAACACGTTCTGGGACTTTCATTTCATGCACCTCAACAGGAGGCTTGCCTATGGAGAAACATAGTAAGTGAACCTAGAACACTCATTGCTAGATCAAGCTCACCGTCGAAGAGATCCGGAACCCATACATCGCATTTCAGCTGTTCAGCAAAGAAGTCTGCAAGAATCTTGCTGTTTTTCAACCGAAGACCAAAGATATCCGTGAACAATAACAGCACGCGTCGAGGGTTCGGCACTTTGCGCGTAGTAAGCACCCTGGATGGATATCGTTCCTGTTGGTTCGCCAGCCAAAATCTCGCCTTTGAAGCAATTTGGACAGCTCATTGTGCACACAAGAGTGGAGGGAAAGGAGCCCTTTAGACTGATATTTACATGCCGGAGGAAGGCGCAGTTTATATAAATAGTGCGAGCGGA